GCAAAGAAGAACATAGACAAACCAAACTTGCACAGGCTAATCGAGTTGTATACTCACTCAGTCGCGGCGATGGGTCACGTGCGCCATTTTGGTGAACTCGTCTTTGAGTTTGCCCATCAGCCATTAAAGCGAGGCATTTCCCGTTCTAACAGAAGAAATCCCCATTTACAAGCAGTAAAGCATGCACTTTCTGACGACTGGCAAGACCGTCTTGCGGCACTAACAGAAAAGATAGTGGAGAACCCCTTGTCACAGGAACATAAAAACGACTTCGGTACATTCTTGACCGGTCAGAAAAGTACTCCATCGGAACATCTAGACACTACCTCATTCGAAAGCCAGCTGACAGAGGACTTACTAATCAAGCCGTTGTTGCGTAAACTGGTAGGAAAAACATCGCCCGGTCCGCGTGGTGATGGGTCACATTCTAAGTGGGTTCTGAACGGTACAGAAAAGACATCGACGTCGCATACAGGTATGATGAAGTTGCTCAATCAGTCATTTATTCTCCAATTCGATGGCGAGCGCAAAGTAACATTCTTCAAGAAGGCGCGCCGGTTTAAACAAAACATATTTAGGTCGAGCACATCCGGGCATTCATATCCTCACGATTGTATTCGTGTAAGAAACGCCATTCAATCGCTTGTGCGTCATGACATGACAGGAGACTTACTCGAGGAGCAGCCGAGTCTTCTCGAAATGGAGGGCAGTCCGGACAATTACATACTTGTTGTTTTTGCTGTCGAGGCATTTTTATCTTGGAAGGACCACCAGTCTGGTGCTGGAGAATATTGTATCGAGAGTTCTCCATTCGTTTTTGTGCGAAAATGCACATTACATGAGGATAGAACCTTACACGTTCCCCCCGGTACACCATTAATCTTACTAAGACTGACTGGAAATGTGAGAAGGGTTGGGCTGATACATGCGTGTTCTATGTCTTCACCAGAGACCCACTGTCACATCAGTGAAAATGTCGGCGTGATAACGCACGCAGCTGGACTTCTTTCAGGCGATAGGTTCTATTATCTTACAAAGCGGCAAGGATACCCTCCACGAATGGGGTAAATTATGCATATCTCACAGCCGATAGAATTGTGGGAAACGGCCAGCCCGCTATCGAGAGAGTTAGCCATTTGTTTACGTTGATAAGTAAGTAAAGTATGTGACCATGCCATTCATGTTTTTGGTTGCCATCAAAGGCGCCTTTCGTTCTTACAGAGGGGCGGTTGGGGGTGTTGTTTTGATGTGAAGGGGTGGCGCGGGGCCTGAGGGTAGACATTTGTGGGTGAGGAAAAGATGTGTGTCTGGATTGATGAGAGCAGGATGGTGGAGGGCAGTCAGATTCGACACAAAGAGATGAGGTGAGCGTTTGCGAAGTGCCTGGCTGGCCATTGACGTTTTTGCATTGGCATACTTTCAATCCTTTTCATTCTATGGTTCTCTTCACCATGTTCTGGGTTACTGTTCTTTGAAATTCCTCTATGATATGCTTACCCCGTACCACTAATGAAGGCCAGCTCATCTCTAAACAGCCCAGTGCCTCATCAGGATCTGTCAACGTCTTAGAAAGCTGTTTTGTTTTTCCCGCGGATGTCCGATGCCAAAGCAAATGAAATGCACGGTCTCTCAGATTTTCTGGTATCCTGTTCCCGTGATAGGCAACCTTGGAGATCTTCAAGGCGTCAGAAAGCATCATACTTTTTTTCTAGTCTGTTAGCGTACGTTCTGTTTCGTCGATCGAAACACGTGTTCTCCCGGAAAAGTAGCTCGCACATTTTGTCTGTGGCTGTGCAAACTTGACTTCCCGCAACTCGAAAAATGAACATGGATTTTTCTGAATCATTGTCAGCCAAAGTCCCCCTAGCAGCCGAAAGGCGCTCTGGTCAGACACTTCCATGCTCCTCATTTTTCTTCCCTTCACCATGAAGTACTGTAGATCAGAGACACTTTTGAAACCGATGCATTTACCAAGACAGCCGAGAGAATCTAACAATATCGTTATTGTTTCTATGTCGGAGCGGGGAGACTGGGTTTCCTCGTAGGTTGGGCAAAATGTTGCCGTGGGAGTCCGCATTCTGACCACGCGGCATATTTGTTCCATTTCAGCAAGATTGCAGTCCGTATCTGCCCGTAAAGCTCTTGTGAAGCACATACCAATATGTCTTCCTTCCTGCGCGACGACATCCGTGACTGCAGTTCGAATTCTTGGAAGTTGAATAGCTCTCTGGCATGCATTTGCCATTCTTTGCCTTAGGAATCCAAAAGCCCGGTCAGAAATGACATCACTTTCGGTCTTATACCGCAATAATCTGGAATAAATGCCGCTTTGAGCACTCAGAAGCCTTTGAATCTCATCCACTCTCAGTTCCAGAGATGCTACACGAGATGAAGTTCTGGTATGATCACATAGACTAGTAAAGCAGTTCCGCTTCGTGCAGGAGGCCTCGAGGGCGCTGTAATCATCGTCCGAACTCGAGATTCCATCATCACACTCGGAGAAATCTCGTTCGCAATACCGCCATTGTTGCATGCACAGTTGCGTTCCGTCATCTTGCTTATGCTGCAATTTGTTTTTCATGAAGCGTGCGCTCACACCAGATTCACCCATGCCGTAGCCTGCATTATACTGCACGACGGCAACGAACTCGCGTCTTCGCCTCCCAACTCCACTCACTTTCCCCCTCCACCAAACGTCCTTTTTGTTTTTCTGACCTTTCCTCCTTCCACTCTCCACAGTAACGTCAAGAATCCAGAGAACTTCAATGGAGTCCCCTTCCCTTAGCTGGCGCATTCCAGTTATTGATTATGACCGTGCGGAAACCCCCAAATCGCCCCGTCAGATTCTCCGCTGATAAGCAAGTGTAGAAGAAGCAACCACTATCCGTGTAGATTTCCAAATGGAAGAAACAAAAGCAGATCTGTGTGTATTCCCTGATAGGTACCGAAGAGAAGGAAACTTGGATCGATGGAGAGGGATATGTGGTGGTGGCAGTGGCGAAATCAGAGATCTGGGAATCTTGGCTATCGACAGAAGCAGAAACACGGAAAGTAAAATGGGAGAAATATTCAGGTCAAAAAAATCAAAAATCTGAGCGTCCAAGCGCAACGGGCTGATAGAAAAAGGCCGTGGTCGGGATACAGGTAGAACGCATGGACTACCACTACGTGAGGTTTGGAGCTGATACCGTTTCAACAACATGCGCCACCGGAAATTTGTGACATGCGGGCATGTGTAATACGTGTCACTACATCTACTCGGAGTGCACTGCACACGACTCCGGGGGTGAGGGCAAAGGTCGATCTCCCACCCACCGTATGGCAAGTGCTCACTCGCACCGTCGTAGCACCACTTCCGTCCTCATCGCTTCCTTGTCTCAAGCATCATCGAATCCTTGCATGATGGGCTTACTGGAAAGTCGGGCGAGTATTTCTCAGCTCTATCACACTATTCACTCGTTTTGCCTCCAATTTGCCATTCCGCCTCCCACTTTCATCTCTATCGCAATCGAAACCCGGTCTTTGCAGTCCTTGTAGCAACCTCCTCTCTCCCAAAGACTGCTCGCCATGAGCGCTGCTTTTATGCTGGCCATACCTCCTGTCCCCTCTCTTTAGCCGCCCCCACCATAGAAGGGCACTGCCACTTGGTCAAGCGTCCTCGTCCTAACTAATCCTAGAGCGGCATATGCCGGATTCAAGTCCTGACATTTTGGATTGCGTTCTCACCTTTTTTTGTACTCATTGCGAACCAAACTACGAGTTGCCCTGCGTCATGACACCGCAGCCACAATCAACGTCTTCGGCCTTTGTCATTCATGGACGTCGCATTCTGACAAACACGCGCTCCGTCGACCATTACACTTCAGTCGTAGTAACAAAACGATACAGTGACACAATGGCCCCGGCAAGGGTTGTCGCCATCGGCAATGAGTGCGATATAGCTCAATTGTACGTTGAAAGCGAGGACTTCTGGGAAGATTTAGAAGATCAAGTCGGCATGGATAATACAAAACATGCCTTCCTTCAACCCGGCTCTTTGCCGCAGCTCCAAGATTCAGTTCTCGTTATAGGCTTCGAGAATCAAATCAGCCGTGTGGAAAAGCAAAACTATGTGCATGGCCAAGGAGACCTGCTTGCAGTACATATTGACACGGCGGTAAGTCTATCCGTTTCCGTAGTACTTGATTTTTCAATGAGTTATTGTTTTGGCTTTCTTACTAATGCCTTTCTATTTCCTTTGGGGACCATTTTGGATGTTTGCCAATAACATGTTCCCGTCTTTTAATCCAGGAAACAGTGGCGCCCCGGTGATAAATGAAACCGTGAGGTTGTAGGTGCGTGTCCCAAATCTTTCGAACCGTTACCGTTGAAACGCAATGGATCGATTGCATCAAGTGTACATGATCATCCTGACTGACACGCGATGGGTTTTGTTCGGCTATTCAGGAATTGCTTTTCAAAGCGTGGACCCCTTTTAAGCTGATTCCGTGGGCTACCTCATTCCATACTGCGTACTGCAGCATTTTCTCGACCACATAGCCTGTCATGGTCAGTATGCGGGGTTCTCATTTTGCATATTTCGGTAGCAAAGAATGGAAAACCATCATTTGAGGAGATCTCTTGGAATGGCCAAGGATCAGTCTACCATTTTAGTCAAGTGGGTTGCAGAGATTTGCGAAGCGAATCGGATGTTACGAAAGGGAGATATTATGACTCGTGTGGATGGAATCTTCGTCTCGAACGCTGGGACAGTACTATTTTGCTTTGTGGAACGCATCAGTTTGACTTTTGTGATCACCAGCAAATGCGAGCACTCGCACATCCGCGGCCTGAGGCTGAACGAGAACCTCAATGTGGCCCCGGAGCGGGCAGGGGCTGGTGGGGCAGGTGGAGGCGCGCAAGGCCGCAGCGTGGTCGTTCTCATCATCGAGCAGGGCAGGATCGCGGGCCGCGCCGTCCCCATCGCGGGCCAGCCCGGCACGGGGAAGACCGCCATCGCCATGGGTATGGCCCAGGCCCTCGCCTCAGAGACGCTCTTCACCAAGATCGCCGTCAGCGAGATCTTCTCGCTCAAGATGTCCAAGACCGAGGCCCTCACGCAGGCCCTGGGGAAGAGCATCGGCGTTAGAATTAAGGAGGAAACAGAGCATATCGAAGGCGAGGTTGTGGAGATTCAAATTGATATGCCGCTCCCGAGGTCGTCAGCTGAACGGATGACGAAGAGTGGCAAGCTTACGTTGAAGACCACGGAGATGGAGAGGGTGTATGACTTGGGTACCAAGATGATTGACTCGTTGCGGAAGGAGACAGTTACAAGTTTTGATGCCATTACTATTGAGATGGCAACGGGAAATATATCAAAGCTCGGGCGAGTTGCAGCGACGGAAAGAGGTTGTGCACGTCGTCTCTCTGCACTAAATTGATGTCATCAATTCACGGCAGTAAGGTTTGTTAGCATTATTCGCTGGTGACACTGGTGAGATTAAATCGGGGGTGAGGGAGCAGATCGACGTCAAGGTCGCGGAGGGGAGGGAAGAGGGGAAAGCGAAAATTGTGCAGGGCGTTCTTTTCATTGACGAGGTGCATATGCTTGATATTGACAGCTTTTCCTTCATGAACAGAGCTCTCGAGTCGGACCTCGCCCCAGTCCTTGTGCTGGCGTCGAACCGCGGAATCACTTGTATCAGGGGGACCACATACAAGTCGCCACATGGCATTCCACTGGGCTTGTTGGATAGGTTGCTTATTACTACCAAACCATTCAACGAGAACGACATTCGAAAGATCTTGCAGCTACGCAGCGAAGACGTGGAGATCATGGAGAACGGACTAAACCTTCTCACGCGTATAGATCTGGATACCTCTCTGAGATACGGCATGTATCTAATCACCTCTTCAGGACTCGTTTGGTCGAAAAGAAAGAGGATATAGGTAGACGTGGAGGACATCAAGAGGAAGTACACCTTGTTCTGGGAGAGAGGCACTGGAGAGGGTGTGCTGCTGGGGCAGGTCCACGGCCTGGGAGACGGAGGTGAGACAATGTGGAAGGTGTTGCTGAGGCTGTTGGAGGGGAGCTGACAGAAAATAGCGCGGAAGGAGGGGTCTGGGCCGTAGGTAGACGGAAGCGGCAAGGATGAGCTGGGCGATTTTCTGGGCTGGGCGGAAATCTCGGATGGACGGGACTACAGGTGTGTTTTGCGGTAAAGTTGTCGGCGACGCCTAGGACCGTTCCGTCACGGAGGACGCGGCGGGAGTTAGAGTTGTACTGGACGTGCCTTTGGCGGCCGTCGGCATTTGAGGAGGGGTGGGCGTCGGAGGGGGAGAAAAGGGCGTTTCGGGGGGCCACGCAGGGGATGGAATTCAGAGAGAAGCGGGAGGGGGAGAGGGTTGCGAGGATGTCGGCGAGGGGGATGCCGTCGGTCTGGAAGTGCATGAGCTTGTCGACTGCAGTCGACGCGATGAGGGAGGGTAAGGCGGATGTGAGCGTGATAATGAGAAGTGGGACTCCGTGTGGATGCGGGCGGCATCGCGACGGTCGTGGGGGAGGGCGGCAGCCTCGCTGACTGTGAGGGTTGAAAGGGGGTCATCGGAATGGGGAAGGGGCGAGGTGTTGATTTAGAGGGTCTCGGGGCGCGGTTTGAGGCATTCGCCGAGTGGTTGGAGGGTCTGGATGAACTGCCCGGAGGGCAGCTTCGTTGAGGGTGGTGGCGGGGGTCAGGTTTGTGGTATAACTACCTTCGTCCCGACCACTCGGAACGAGGGGGGTTAGAGGTAAGGGAGCGCGCGACGCTGGGTAACCCACGCGAGCGCGAACCGTACGGAAGGACTCGAAAAGAGGGATGGCTCACGTGGCCGGTGACGCGCAGCCGGTCGGTGGTGTCAGATCCGGACGGCCGGTCACGGGTTAGAAGCCTGAGACTTAGAGGTAAAACCGGACGGAGTTAGCAAAAAGCCGTAAAGGGAAGGGAGGCGAGTCTGCCTCCGTTTACTGGAACGGGGCAGGTGCCCCCGGTCTTAACCCCTAAGTGGGACGCCAGGACACCTGTCCCGCTACAGTAGCTGTTACTTACTGTATACCAGCTACTGTGCTAAATTGGCTAATTTGTGCCATTAACTACTAATTACTAATTACTTACCGTTCGGATCCTACACGTGTAACCAACGGGGTACCACTGTACTCCGCACCGGCCGTGTGCTGTAAATATAACTCCTTACAGTTCTTCTCGCGCTTACAGCCCATCATACTGTATCCCGGGGCGGCAGAGGTGGTGCGATTGCCTTCGCGCCGTTGTGCTACAGACCCCCTTCCTTATCTCGCGACACGTCCCCGTCGCGGCGGACTAAAATCCGTGCCAGCTGTGACGGTCCTCTATCCCGAACGGAGACCATGCGTCGGCCGCGGAGACGCGGCCGTACAGTACGTACCTTCCTCGGGTCCTCACCCGCATGCACACCCGCAGCGGCGGTCATTTCCCGACCCGCGCGGAGGAGTTCAGCGCTCCTGCTGCTCCCGGTTCCATTTGCGGTACGCCACCGTTCGGATTGGGCGGCTTCAGCCTTCGCCGGGTCATCGAACAACCGGCGCAAAGAAGCGTTTTTCCAGGACCCCCCCGGAGGGCTGGCCATTTTTCCAAGAATTCCCCTTCGATTTCCTCCAAAACCCCACGGGTGCGCCCCCTCCGGCCCGGCAGCGGTACGTCCCAGACCTTTCCCCGGGCGTGCGGTACCTCTGTCGTCCAAAGCACAAGCAAAAACCGCACGGTAGTCCCTTTCCCGAACGGTTCCTATTTGGAAACCAATAGAAACTGTAAAAAACAGTTAGAAACGGCATAAACACGTTTCTGTTTCCAAATACTCCCAGGTCGGCGACGACCTCAGGAGTCTGGAACCGTTCTCGGATATGGGCTACGATTTTTATTCGCCCTTCTAGAGGGGAAATCGTAGCCCTTGTCCCCGTACAGTGCTCCCTTGATGAACCGATCGGGAACTCGGGTTTACAGGTACAGCGGACCGACACGCTGTACCTTCAACCGTCCGGATAGGCTTGCCGTTGCGGTGGGGCGTCTTCCCCCGGCGCCGGGCATCATCAAACCGGCGCCAAAGAAGCTATTTTCCCCCACCCCCCGGAGGGCCGGCCATTTTTCCAAAAACGGCGCCCTTTCACCCGCGAGACAGCGGGGTGTGTGACCGCCAGCCTGTCCGTGCGGTCAGTGGGGAGCTCCCAGCGGCGGTACGCTCTGCCGTTCGTCCAAAACCGGTCCGTAAGTCCTGCCATTGTCACTTTCCGCGGAGGCCCCGATTTGGAAACGAAAGGAAACTGTAAAAAAACAGGCAGAAACAGCGGTTTACAGTTCCAGTTTCCAAATCCGCTTGGGCCTTCCCAAAGTCGGATTTTCCGTCTTGGGACCTCCGGACGCGGGCGGACCCGGGGAATGCAATGCCGTTAACGGGAGGGGGCTACGATTTTTTCCCACCCTTTGAGAGGGGAAAACGTAGCCCATCCGAGGGCTTAATTAAAAACCGGTGAACCGGTTCATTCCGACGGTGCAGCGAGTCCATCCGCACCGGGTCTATCCGGTCGGGTTCGCCGGTGGCGCACAGTAGTATGTGCGCGCCATGAGCGGTAGATTACCGTTTACGGGAGGCCTTCGGTCGGTTCCTATATGTAGTCCGCTGGGTTGTAGCCTACCAGCGGACATCGTAGGAGGGGTCGGTACCGGTCTTCTAGAATTTTCCTGTCGGTGTCGGCGGCCGGATCGCCCGGCGGCCCGCGATGGGTGACCTCGCGGTTGGTGCGGCGTAGTGCTGCGGAGGTGGTTTCCCGTCCCTACGCAGCACGAGAAGCTCATCCCCACCAGCGACTTGCGAGAAAATCGGCCTTTTCCTTAGTAATTTCTGCCTGCTTTTTCCTTGCGGCGGGTGACTTCTCGGCGGTTTGACGAGCTCCGATTGGGCGGTCCCCAAAATCGGTCGTATTTGGAACCGCCGCCAGTGGTCCAGCGGCCACACGTGCCGGGCGGTGTATGCCGCTCGCGCAACTCGTGGTCCACAGTGCCCTGGAGCCCCGGCGAGGTCGTGCCAATACAGTATTTACGCGGCTGGGTTCCGTCTCTCGGCGGCGGGTATGCACCGGGGCGCCAAGCCGTTTGACCACCGCCGCGTCAGGTCGTCCTGCCGGCGGGTCAGCTTCCCCCCCGGCGCCGGTCCATCCGGTGCGGCTCGGGCGGTGGCACGCGGGGGATCTGCGTGCGCCGTAAACGGGTGGTGGCCGCCTGGAGGAGACCCTCGGCGGAGTGGCCCCCCATCCGCGCCGGGTATTCCGGTGCGGGGTTTGGGGTGGCGCACGCTGGGTTCCGCGTGCGTCCGTGGCGATTGGCCGCCTCCTGCGCCGGGTGTTCCGGTGCGGGGTTTGCAGTGACGCGCGCGGGGTTTCGCGTGCGTCTGTGGCGACCTCGCCCCATCCTGCGCCGGGTCTTCCGGCGCGGGGTGGGCGGTGACGCAGGCGGGGTTCTGCGTGCGTCTTTGGCGACCTTGCCCCATCCTGCGCCGTGTCTTCCGGCGCGGGGTTTGCGCTGGCGATTGGCTGCCGCGCGGGGGAGGTTCTTCTCCGGATCGTCCCGCCCCGCGCTGGGTTGCCCAGTGCGGTGCTAGCGGTGGCGTGCTGCCGCCGGTGTGCGCCAGAAGCGGTCTATGAAGGCCTGGGGGAGTCCCTCCGCGGGTTCCCAGGTGTCGTCCGCTGGGGCGTAGCCATACCAGCGGACCTTGTACTGGGTTCCTGTGCGGTTCTCCCGGTGACCGACCAGATGGTCGATCACATACTCCGCGGCGGGTTCGGGTTCTCCGGCCGCCGCGGGCTGGGTCGGGGCGGCCGTAGTGACGTCGCGGGGTCCCCGCGGCATCCGGGTTATCCGATCGATGCTCACGCGGTTTGAGACTCCGTCTTGATCGACGACCACTGTGGTCTCCGTAGCGGATCGGACCCGAAACGGGCCTTCCGTTTTCGGCAACAGCTTGACGGAGGGTCCCCCGTCATTACTTGGCAGGTCTCCCCGTTCGGTACTCGTCAATGGCCGAGGTGGGCGGTCAACATAGACCAGGTCTCCCACCTCGATGACCGGACGGAAACGCACCTTCTTATCGAAGTCGGCCTGGTATCGCCTTTGCGCCGCGGTTAGCTTCACCCGCGCGCGCTCAAGGGCGTCGCCGAGTTTACGCAGCGTCGCGCGCTTGTACTGTACCGGGGTCCTCGGATCTTCCGTGTTGGAGACGGCATCCTGCGGTACAGTACCAGGCAGTGCCAAACCGGACGGTGGTCGCGTCAGCACCAGGTCGAACGGGGTTGTCTCCGTCGACCGGTGGACCTGCGTGTTATACGCGAAGGTCAGGGGCTGGATGTATTCGTCCCAGTCCCTCTGGTGCTCCGCGACATAATGTCGGAGGCGCTGTACCAGAGTACGGTTGAACCGTTCGGTTTGCCCATTTGTCTGGGGGTGATAGGCGGTAGTCAGGTAATGCCTCACCCCCAGGAGGGCACACACCGCGTCGAAGAACTTGGCGGCAAATTGTGGTCCGTTATCGGTTAGCACGTAACGAGGTGCGCCGTATACGTAGACCCAATTGTCCAGGAAGGCGTTTGCCACGACCGACGCGGTGGTTGTCCGTAACTGGATGCTGCGCGTCAGCTTCGTAAACCGGTCGGTCATGACGAGCACGTGGCGATTCCCGTGCGCCGTCTTCGGTAAAGGGCCCAGCAGGTCCATGGCGACGAAATCCAGCGGTCCTGCCGCTGGGAAGAGCTTGAGATCCTTCTGGTGCCTCACCAGGGTTCCCCGGGTGGCAGCGCATGACGCGCAGTTCCGTACGGTACTGAAGGCGTCGTTGGCCATATGAGGCCAATAATATTCCCGCCGGAGGGTATAGTACATCCTCGT